TGGTGTTCGCCCTAAAAATCTGGAGGCACTACATATACGGTATGAAGTGCACCATCTTCACAGACCACAAAATCCTTCAACACATATTCGATCAGAAAGAGCTCAATATGAGGCAAAGACGTTGGATTGAGCTACTCAACGACTACGAATGCGATATTCGTTATCATCCGGGAAAAGCCAATGTGGTGGCAGATGCCCTTAGTCGTAAGGAGTACTCTGGTCGAAGAGTGAAGTCATTAACCATGAAGATCCATTCACACCTGTCAACACAAATCAAGGAAGCTCAATTGGAAGCCTTGAAACCCGAAAACCTGACATGTGAAGCACTTAGAGGGATGGACAAAAATTTTGAGATCAAGAGTGACGGAGTTCGTTGCCTCATGAACCGAATCTGGACACCGAAGTTCGTTGGATTCAGAGAGATAGTTATGAACGAAGTACACAAGACTCGATACTCAGTGCACCCAGGTTCAGATAAGATGTATCTGCATCTCAAACAACTCTACTGGTGGCCAAACATGAAAGCAGAAATTGCTACCTATGTGGGTAAGTGCTTGAGTTATGCCAAAGTCAAGGTAGAACATTAGAAGCCCTCAGGTCTACTCCATCAGCTGAAAATACCTGAGTGGAAGTGGGAGCAGATTTCCATGGATTTCATAACCAAACTACCCAAGACGCAGGGTGGTCACGATACCATTTGGGTGATCGTCGACAGGTTAACCAAATCTTCCCACTTCTTGCCAATCAAAGAGACCGATAAGATGGAGAAACTAACAAGAACCTACATCCGAGAGATCGTGCGACTTCATGGTGTACCGAAGGCCTTAGGTACTAAGCTAGATATGAGTACAACCTATCACCCACAAACTGACGGGCAGAGTGAAAGAACGATCCAAACCCTAGAAGTCATGTTGCGAGCCTGTGTAATCGACTTCAGTAAAGCATGGGACATCCACTTTCCATTGGTTGAGTTCTCTTATAACAACAGTTATCACACTAGCATCAAGACTTCTCCATTCGAAGCCCTTTACGGCCGCAAGTGCAGATCACCTCTGTGCTGGGCGGAAGTGGGCGACACGCAGTTGGCGAAACGTCTGGTCCCTGATAGCACTCTCACTGGTCCGGAAATCATAAGGGAAACGACTGAAAGGATCGTTCAAATTCGGGAGCGACTGAAAGCCTCAAGAGATAGACAAAAGAGCTATGCCGACAAAAGACGAAAACCCTAGGAATTTCAGGTTGGTGACCGTGTTTTTCTGAAGGTCTCACCCTGGAAGGGCATGATACGCTTCGGGAAGCGTGGAAAACTAAACACAAGGTACATTGGACCCTTCGAAATTACTGCAAGGATTGTTCCAGTAACTTATAGACTTCAACTTCCAATCGAACTTAGCAAAGTATATCCGGTGTTTCAAGTATCTAACCTGAAGAAGTGTCTGTCCGACGAAACTCTCGTGATTCCACTCGAGGAAATCGAACTGAACGAAAATCTTAACTTTGTAGAAGAACCCGTCGAGATCATGGATAGGGAAATCAAACGAACTAAGCAGAGTCGCATACCAATAGTGAAGGTTCGCTGGAATGCTAAGCGGGGACCCGAATTCACTTGGGAGCGAGAAGATCAGATGCAACAAAAGTACCCGCATCTCTTCCCTAGTCCATAGACACTTACCTTGTAAATAATTTCGGGATGAAATTCCCTCTAACGGGGGGATGATGTAACAACCCGATATTTCGAATCCATGTAACAATCCAAAGTCAAGTTTGGTAACCTACCTTAATATAATATGAATAACGTCAAAAATGAAATGTTCAAAAATCTCAATGTGAATATACTAAGTGGTAGATATCGTATCAAGGTTTTCAAAAATATAAAGAACACAAAAATCCGAGTTATAACGAAGAAGTTATGACCAATCGAAAATCCGCAACAAAACCGGCAAAACACTGTTAAGCGTAAAACACGAAATTTCAATAAAATAATTTTTAGCCTTAATTATCTAAATGAAAGTTGTAGATATCACTAAACCGTAAGAATACATAAAGCAAACGTCCAAATCTAACTTCGTATGAGGAAGTTATGATTTTTCGAAGTTTCAGACATAGTAGTAGACAGCTTAAAACTCGATATAGAGATCGGACGACTTTTAGCCAACGCAACCTTAACGAGAATCGAAGATCTCATCAATGGTATTGCAACGGTAAAAAGTCTGACGAAAACGGACATCGGATGAAGAAGTTATGGATTTTTAACGGACTTTTTCTGTCCCGGTCTGTTAAAAATGTAATATTAAAAATAAAGTCAAAGTTAGCCAACGAAGTCCAAACGATAGTTGTAGAGCATAATCTCACCTACGCGTGCATATAAGGAACGTCGAAAACGGAGATCGTATGCAAGAGTTATGATTTTCTGAAGTTTTAAATAATTAAAATATATAAATTTAATTATTTATTCGGATAATATCCGAAGTGCTGACGAGTCCGATCTGATCCGAAGGGTACGCCCAGCGTACCGAGGAGTACGCCCCGCATACATGTCGACACCGAGGTACGTCCTGTGTACGAGATAGCTACACGCAGCGTACATCTGCTTTCCTCGGCCCAGAAGCGACCACGTTGCACCATCCGGAACTCGACACCTGGAGGTCCGATCTGAACTACGCCCCACGTAGAGCTTCGTACGCCCAGCATACGTGCAAGGTTTAGTCCCTATAAAAGAGCAGGCGAGGCTGCCGAGTTCTTTTGCTTAATTCTTCTGATTCCCGTGCTTTTGCTCTGCCTTTAACCCCTCGAAACCATCCCGAAGCCTCGGTTTTCATATCCAAGTTCCGAAGGAAGTTTTACGCTCCCGAGATTCCCGATATTCCCGAGATTCCCGAGATTCCTGAGAATCCCGAGAAATCAGCTTTCTCCAGTCGTAGTTTTGATCGATTTTTGTCTCACCTTCTTCAAGCTACCAAGTGAGTTCATACCCCCATTTCTATGCTTTTAAATGCTTTTTAAATTCTTTTGAACACATTACGGGGGAGAATAAAAGTAAACACCCGGTTATTCCCGAGTGAAAATATGGAATATTTTTGCTATACTTTGCATGCAGTTATTTTAACTATCAAATGGAAGTGTTTAACATACAAAACATCTTACTCTACTTTACCCTCACGGGACGAAACATGAGTATAAATATCATAAGCTCTATTTATACGTTTGCATCATATCAAGGGTAACCACTTTTGTTATGACATCTTTATGCATACAAGAACATACAAATCATTTTTATGCCTTTATTATCATTGTGAAAAAGGATAATCATTTCAGAAACAAACATATTCATTTTAATACGGGACTTAATTGAGAATTCGTGAGGCATTCATCTTCAATATACCTTTTAAGGTACCACTAAAAGTCCTGTTTATAACCAGAATCTCCCATCTGGAGAACGTGACAAGTGTGTATAGATCTATACGGGACTAATGATCCCGCGCCCTGTCTGTTAGCTACAGTCCCCGGGGTGACAAGTGTCATCTCATTTCGACGCCTGAAGAACGTCGCTACAGGCAAATTATGATAGTACGGTTATAAAAACTCATTGGATAGACAATTATTATGGTATTACGTTTTCACGAGAAAAGTAACAAATACAGTTCTTTTCACATTCTTATAGTTTTGTTTTATAATAAGACTATACACCATTCTTTTGAGCATGTCATTGTTGCTTACGGTCATGGACATTTGAGACTGCAATTCACTTTTAGGAAAATATAGGATTTTCCTGGTTGAAATACATACAATTTATACAACAATCATTCATACTCATTTCATACACTCATAAGAAAATATCGGATTTTCTGGAAAATGAAAGTGAACTTTCGAATGGCATACATTTTCTCAAAACACTACTTATGAACTCGCCAACTTTATTGTTGACACTTTTTCTTTGAAATAACTTGTATTCTCAGGAAAACGCTAATCCATGTAGCAACTACTTTTGAAGATTAACGCGCTGGCGTTAGTAACATATTTTTGGATCACCATATTGTATTTGATATTCAAACATGTAACACTTACAATCATGTAAACTTTTCAAATATATATGTTATGGTGGTGTGTACTTTCTTTACTATTCAATTGTTATGATACTGAATATGACGTCCTCCGCCCCCGAACGTTTCCGCCGTTCAGGTTTGGGGGTGTGACATAATGCCCCAGACCTGTAATCGTTAAAATTTTAAGTGAGTGAGAAAGATATGTATAGATCTATATGGGGGTTGACACCTCCACCCGTGGTTACTAGCTACAACCTGACGACAAGTCGAAACAGGCATATCTTTATAAACACCGACAAAGTTTGATGAAGCTTCGACATTATGAGCGGATGACAACAACAATCATAGATCGATTATAAGAACTCACCGTAACATTACTTAACTCTAACTACTACTCCTTAGGGACACCTCGAAAGAAGTAGTAGCGCTTGTAAAGTAAAACCATACAAGCGTACCAGGAAAGTATATCCCTAGCGATCATATGAAAACAAACTATACTAGATTCTAGAGAATGTATCAAGAACTAAATCATAATAAACATTTTTCCTATTCATAAACAAAGATCCTGATCTCAAACATAGTTGCTAAACCATCCTAACCATTGATAGGATAAACCAGAGAGGAAATAGTTTGGGATTCCCGAACTTACCAACACAAGGATAAAAATACTAACACCAATTCAACAAAACTAGATATTATTTTAAAGTACAAAACATGTGAACTTACCAACACTATGTTGACCTTTTAAACCGCATGTATTTCTAGGTAACCAATGGGAATGGAGGAACTTACAACAAAGGCTAAAGAAGTGATAAGCCGTCTACTAAGGAGCATAATTACCAAGATAAAACCCAATCTAGTAAAATTTAAAGTCTTTATGATATTCAAAAGTTGATAAATGGAAGTGATATTTACGTTATAATATGAATGTATAACCTTGGTTTATAATCCAACATCCTAAACGTCGTGCAACCCAACGTTTTCGTCGTCAGAACGGGGTGTGCCAATGTCATTGTTGACATGTTGCCCCCCTGAGGCGGAGACTTTTTGAATTCTCCCCCTTTTTTCATAATTACCATCATAATTACCAAGAAAGCCAACTTCTAGAAATCCTTCTTCATATTGATCAAGGGATACAGAGGCGTAACCATCATAATCTATAGGAACATAAGGAACTTATAGATAAGATACAAGTGGTTTTGAATTCTCCCCCTTTTTTCATTATCAGTTGAAGCACAAGTAGCAATAGGAGGTGATGGAGGAGGAGTAGAATCGTTTTGGGGAGACATCCATGTCAGGATTTTCATGAGAAAGAGGATGGGATGGTGACGCAGAAATATCCTTTGGAGGATATTATGCATTTGATGGAGGAGGTTGAGGTGATGGTGATGCACTGGATGATGGAGAAATCAAGGAAGATGGAAAAACAACGCTCTTGATTGAGGCAACATCATCCTTTATAGAAACAATATTTCTTTCCAATATACCTTATCGTTCAACAAAAAAAAAAATCAATTAACCCAAGTAGTGATCAAAGAGCTGCAAGAATCAGGGTAGGAACATCAGGTTGATAAAGGTGATCATGATAAAACCCCCCCTCAACTTGAAAGGATGGTTGAGAGTTGGGAGCAGATTGAGACTTACCAACAATAGGATTAGTGGAGACTTCATTAGTTTCAAATCCAAAATTATGATCAGAGAAAGTAAGCTTAACAAGTTTCTCATGCTGAGAAGATGAGGAAGATGACTAAAATCGAATGTGAGTGTTTATTCCTAGAGGATAATGATAAACATCAAAAGATGATGGATCATGGCATTTAAAAACAGGTTGCTTCATAGTAATTGATGGAGATTCAGAATCCTTAGGGTCTGAATCATCTTTTATAGAATCATCCTTACCATCACTACCTTCTTCCTCTTCAGACTCCTTATATTTTGAAACAACTTTATAAGTCTCTTCATCAAAAGCATATAAGAAAGCCTGGACTCCTTATGGATAAAAGGGACAAATTTCAGCTTCATAAGGGTCTATAATCCTATTTTCCATCCACTGAGAAACAGGAGGATCATCTTAAGAGGTAATGTAATTAATAAAATTAAATAACATAGTTGATTTAATAATAGAATCATTAGCATCACCAATATATCTAGATCCAATATGAGCAAGAGCAAACGAGAGCCAACCAGGATAAGTAACATAAGAATACTACTTATTTCCTAAGATGGAGAAAACAAGTTGATCAAATATAAGCTAAGCAAAGTCTAGATGCTTGGTGTTCAACATATCATACAATATATGCATCTCAAATAATTCAATTGGTCAAGACTCCCAGTTTTGTACCCTAGACACTTTCAAATAAAACCAATTAAATACTTCCATCCAGTAGGAAAACATTGAAGCAAAATCAACCAATACATTTTCATTGATTTTAGATTGATAACCCAATTTCATAATAGCTTGCTTACATTGTTTCTCAGAAGGAGGATATGAGAAGTTAACCAAATTTGGAAGACAAACTGCATCCCTAAGAGCTTGAATAGAGAGACAAATTGCATGACGACTATCTCCAATGGTTACTTGAATGACATCATCATGATCATCATATGTGTAGGTGTAGTAGAACTCATAGATGTGTTGTGATAATAACATATCAACAGTGCCAGCAAAAGCGTATCTCAGTAGATGACTCTTCAAGAACTCAAAAAAGGCTTATAATCCTTTGTTTCAATGTTTGATGGGAATAGCATAAGAGAATGAAACATTTATGGAGTTGATCATAATGGGAGTTGTTAGTGTGTTGTGAGCTTTGTGAACGCTAGTAGTTGAAACATACAGAAACAGTGATGACGACATGATTATAGGATCAAGTTCTTTAAAGGGTTGATGCTGATAGAAAAATCTTTGAGATGATTATCATAAACCCTTGAATAGGAAAATAATTTTCTTTTATAGCTTATGGAAGGATAATCCATGACGTAATCAACAATCATACCAAATAAAAATTTGTCATAATGTTCAAATCCCAATAACCGACTCGTCCATGCTAATCTAGAAGTTACATTTGCCCAACGTTTCTGAATACAAGTTGTAGAGCACCTTGAGACATAATCAGTGAGAGCACATATGCATCGTAGAATAACTTGTGATAAAAATGTTTCACTCGTTGTATGGTGTAATAAAACAGATCATCAACATATAGTGGTTTGATACTTACACACTGTATGTTTTGTTACATCAGTTCTTAAACATTGTTTTGTTGTTTAATGCCTCACACGCTGTTTGGGATTTTATAGTATGATCCTAAACACTTGGTATCTCAAACTCCCTTACCATATGGTTTAATATGGAAAATCCTTAACATTAGAATTTAGAATATTTCACATACTATTAGTATCATAGTAAGATCATTAACATGGGGAAAGATGTTTTAATAACAGTTGGTTTGACAACTAATCATTAACATCAAGGAAGAGGATTCTAAAAGCTAGGAAAGAAAATTACACCATTAATTCAGATATTGGTACCATGTCATACCTCAAACTACAACTCAGGGACATGAGTAACCCTTTGTATTTAAAGAACCAGAAAAGTATCTCTTCTGCTGATGACATTGCAACAAGGATAAGACATTGAGTAATGCACAATGATTCAACAGAACACTTAACTTGATACATATAACAACATGTTTCCATGGACATGGTTTGCCAAATAAGAAAATCTTTAAATAAAAATATCGAACCCTGATAACAAATTTTTCTTGAGATTACCATGCGATCTCATTTTGAAGATACGGACAGTGACAAACCATCAGCATGAGTGGATTACTTAATGATATCTCTGTAGATGGTTTTGCTTATTAGATAATTAGAGAGATTTAGTCATCTTCAATAGAATGCTTATAGGGATATTTTATGTTCAATTTTCATGCTAGAATAAAATATTATCCATCGATGCTTTAGCTAAGGTACAAAACAAAAGTAATAAATTAAATTAGTCAAAGAAGAAGTACCCAAAAATAGAAATATGCAGCTTTTTCAGAAAAATCATAATCGTTCGGATTTAGTGAATCTTTCAAATAAATGACCATTAAAGTGCTTCCTATTTTCAAGATACCCTCCACTTAAAAAATTGTCTATGAGAAGGAAACATGTTAGAAAACATTTCACAAACAATCTCATATATTTCTTTCAAAAATGAAAGTATAAATGCTCTATTTCCTTCAGAAGAACAACATTCTAATGGATAACAAACTTCAAGTTCATCACCACGAAGGGAGGCTCAAAAGAACACAATATTTTTAACAATCGAGTTAAAAGTTTGTAATATTTGTAACCTTCAACTTACGTAAATCAACAAGTTGATACTCAAAGGGACAAAATATTAGACCTGCCTAAATGGTAGTGCTTCCTTATCACATATCGACAATAATGTGCTTAGTGCCTAAGTCGCAAAATATTACCATCAAACTGAAAGTTATAGCCGTTGATGTGAAGATGCATGGTCATCTGAGGTCAACCATGCAACCAAGCTCAATGATAAGATCTGTAGATGAGAAAGTGTAAGATATAGTTATGAAGGTGAAGGATGAATGATCTTGAACCTTGTGCTTGAGAATAAAAAGACATGAGGGTTCAAAAATTAGAAGATATTAGGAAACAATGTATACTTCTTTGGTAATGTAAAATAAATAAGAAATAAATATATAATTTTTTTTGTTTTTTTTGGACTTTATGCAATATAAAAGTCATATAATTTGTTTTATATTTTTTTCAAAAGTTTGAAAACACACTAGTAAAGTACATAACACTAAAAGGAACAAAAACCTTAGGGCATGAAAAGCATACCCAATTCACCAAAAATGAAGGTAATCTTTTGTTCATTTAGAGGCTTGGTGAAGATATCATTGAGTTGGTTATCAATAGGAATGTACATCAACTCGATATTCCCTTCTAGCACATTATCCCTGATAAAATGGTCCCTAATCTCAATATGCTTGGTATTGGAATGTTGGATAGGATTATAAGTGATGAGAATAACAATTGTGTTAACATAATAGATGGGTGTCTTGGTAAATTTAAAACCATAATAAAGGAGTTGGTCTTGGATCCAGAGAATTTGATCACAACATCTACCAGTGGCAACATACTCAACTTTAACGATTGAAGAAGGTACAAAAGTTTGTTTCTTGCTAGACCAGCTTATCAACCTGTTTCCTGAGAGCTGACAACCAATAGATGTAATGTTTCGATCAAGAAAACAACCTACATAGTCAGAATCAAAAAATATAACTAATTTGAAATCAGAGTCATGAGGATACGAAAGTCCAGTATTTGCAGTGTTCAATAGATATCGAAAGATACGCTTTACAGCAAGAAGATGTGATTTCTTGGGTTTTGCTTCAAAACGAGCACACACACTGGTAGAAAACATGATTTCAGGGTGACCAGATATAAGGTAGAGTGGTGAACCAATCATTCATCTATACCAAGTGGAATTAACATTAGTGCCATCAGATTCAACAAAAATCTTTATAGAAGTTGACATTGGAGTCTTGGCACGTTTGCAGCCAACAATTGAGAACTTTTTTAGCATATCAATAACATATTTACTCTGACTAATGAAAATTCCATTAGAAATCTGCCTAACTTGAAGACCAAAGAAAAAGGTCAGTATACCCATCATACCCATCTAAAACTTCTTATAGATAACATCATTCGATTCCTTGCTCAAATCTTCATTTGTAGATCTAAAAATAATATCATCGATGTGCACTTAAGCAAGAATGATATCAGTTCCTGATTCGTTGATAAAAGGAGTGTTATCAATAATTCCTCCCCAGTACCCCTTTTGAAGAAGATACAATGTCAACGTATCATACCATGGCCTATGAGCTTGCTTCATACTATAGACAACTTTATGCAACTTGTAAACATGATCAATGAACTATTTCTTTCAAAACCAGGATATTGTTTAAGAAATACTTCCTTCTCAAGATCTGGATGCAAAAATTCCGTTTTAACATCCTTCTGGAAAACCTTAAAATTAATGGAAGATGCATAAGCAAGAAAGATCCTGATAACTTCAAGACGAGCAACAGGGGGAAAAGTTTCATTGTAATCCATCCTTTCAGCAACAAGTCTAGCTTTATTTCATGTAATGATGTCATCTTCATCCATCTTGTTTCGAAAAACCCAACAAGTACCAACTATTATTTTTCTGGTGGAAGAGGAACAAGAGTCCATATCATGTTTCTTTTCAATTCATGCAGTTCCTTTTTCATTGATCTAATCCATTTAGCTTCATCTAAAGCATCCTCTACCTTATTAGGTTCAACAAGAGCTACAAGGTTGACAAACATATAAAATTTGATAAATCTTGACGATGTGTACGAACACCAGCAATAGGATCTCCAATGGCTTGTGAGAGAGGATGATCACGAACATCATGGAGAGAAGGTTGATTAGAAGAAGTAGTGATATCATTAGTGGGAAGCTCAAACTCAGGATGGGAAGAAACATCATGTTCAACAACAACATCAAAATCAAGGGAGGGTAAAAAGGAGCAATCTGGATCTGGGAATAACAAAACAGATGGAATAACAGTAACAGAGTCATCAGAAACATTGATTCCTGAGATGAGAAAGAGACAAGCTCATCGATAATCGAGCCATAATGATCAATGGAATCTTTGGGATATAAATCCTCATCAAACTTTATGTGAATTAATTTTTTAACAATATGGTTTCTCATGTTAAACACCCTAAATGCATTTGAGATGGATGAATATCATAAGTAGATCCCTTCATCATCCTTTGATTCGCATTTGAGATCTGATCAATCTGATTAAAGATAAAAACAAAACACATCGAAACACATGAAAATTAGGAGTATTAGTCTTTCTACCTTTAATTAGCTCATATGAAGTTTTTCTATGGAGCTTTACAATGATGGACCAATTTTGAGTATATCATGCAGTATAAAGGCTTCAACCCTGAATAAGAGAGATAGACCGACATTAACAACCATTTTTCTTCTAGCTTCAATAAGAGTCATGTTTTGACGTTCTGTAACTCCATTTTGTTCATGAGTTCTAACAACTAAGAGGTTTTCAAAAATTCCTTTCTCTTCACAAAAACTTTCGAGAGTTACATTTTGAAATTTAATGCCATGATCGATTTTGAGTTGCTTGAATTTGCAATGAAAAATAACTTCACTTTGTTTGATCAATGAAATGATTTCATTAGCAAGTTCAGTTTTCTTACGTAAAAACATATCCCATGTGAATCTTGAAAACTCGTAAAAAATTACCAACAAATATCTTTTGGTAACACTAACTTCTATAGGAACGGGAACAAATAAATCCATATGCAAAAGATGAAATGGATCATTGATAGAAGAACATATCCTTGGTTACGTAGAAGACTTGGTTTGTTTCTCCTTTTCACATGAAGCACAAACTTTATCTTTGTCAAATCTCATCTTAGGCAAACCTTTCAAAAGCTGATCATTGGAGATCCTTGATATAGCTTTAAAGTTAAGGTGTGAGAGTCTCTTGTTCCACAACCAATTCAGATGAGATTGTGAACGAGAGAAGAATCAAATGACAATTATCAGCATAGAACATGTCCAAAATGCAAATGTCACTTCGAC